GAGGCAGACAGAAGCACGGCTTCAGCAGACAGGAGGTCCCACTATGGCGGTGCTCCCCCAACTCACCCGCCACGCAGTGCTCCAGGCAGCGGCGGCCACCAGCAGAGGTTTCCTGCAGCTCCAAATCCCAGTTCTCAAGAGCTGGCAGGGACGCAGGGATGTGGTGGCCCTGTCTGAACTCCATTCCCCTGCTCTTCTCTCAAATTTACCAGGTGTGATTCCTGCTGGAAATGGCTGCCCTGGTTTCTGTCTTCCTGACCAAACCACAGCCAATATGACTCGTGGTGTTAGGAAACTTTTTACAACAAGCCAGAATATTTTTATTGGACAAGAACCAGAAAAATGAATTTCATCCTTATGCCCAAGAGGTGATGACCATCCTGACTTTTGGATTAGTTTTTATTTATTGTCCTGCCACCCTCGTGTAATCTACCCCCAAGCAATAAGCCACCTGGTCTTGAAGGTGGAGGGCAAGAGCACACCAGCAGTGCAAGGACAGGGCAGCACTGTCCCTGCTGGACAGAGGATCCGGGAAGAGGCCAGAGGAACAGTCTTGGGGGCATGGTCTGACTTCTGCTTCTCTGGGAGGTGATGAGACCCCTTCCGGGACAGGGGATCTGGGAAGAGGCCAGAGGAACAGTCTTGGGGGCATGGTCTGACTTCTGCTTCTCTGGGAGGTGATGAGACCCCTTCCGGGACAGAGGATCCGGGAAGTGGCCAGAGGAACAGTCTTGGGGGCATGGTCTGACTTCTGCTTCTCTGGGAGGTGATGAGACCCCTTCCGGGACAGAGGATCCGGGAAGAGGCCAGAGGAACAGTCCTGGGGGCATGGTCTGACTTCTGCTTCTCTGGGAGGTGATGAGACCCCTTCCGGGACAGGGGATCCGGGAAGAGGCCAGAGGAACAGTCCTGGGGGCATGGTCTGACTTCTGCTTCTCTGGGAGGTGATGAGATCCCTTCCGGGGACGTCATGAGCAAGGTTACGAGTGAGTCTTGGGAAACAGGGTTCTCCACAGTCGGATGCCTGACAAGACAGCCATGTGGACCAGGCACTGGACATGCTGCAGAAGGGGGTTGGAGGGGGCGGGCTGCTCAGCACTCCCCGCTCCCGAGCCCATCTTGCCTACCTCCAGCGATCAGGGAAAATGGAGGACTCCTGTGAGTCCTCGTCAGGAGAGACCCTCACCAGGATGTGGTCACAGTATGCTAACTACTGATGAGAACCTGGGCCTGGTTCTCCTGGGCATCAGTCCTCAGGTTAAGAAGACAGCCCGATGGAAGTGGGGTTCTTGGTGGTTACAGTCCATCTCTGGGTGACACTGCTGCAGTGTGGTCAGTTGCCCTCCAGTCTGCAGGGCTGTCATGTTGGGATCACCTTTCACCATCTGCTAAAGGATCCCTTGTCATCTCATGTTGGTCTCCGCTTCCTGTCTCTCGTGTCTTCCTTCTGAGTTGTACTGTTTGTTTTGGTGGAGTACATAATGGTGCTTGAGAGGTAAGGTTTTTGAGACCTTGTATGTCTGGAAATGACTTTATTTCTCACACTTGAGGGTTTAGCTAAATATAGAGTTCAAGGTCAGAACAATTTTTTTACTTCAGAATTGTAAAGGTAATGCTCCCTTCTCTTGTTTGCAGTGTTGCAGTCAAGGGGTGCAAAGTCTCTCCAATGTGCCTTTTAGGTGACCTTTTCATTTTCTTTTGTTCCCTGTGTTCTGAACTATCCCAAGGAGGTGTCTTGTCTCTTTTCACTGAGTAATGGTTTCAGTTTGGTAACTCCTGGTCTTCAGACCTCGGACATTTTCTTTTAAAAAAGTTTTTCTTTAAAAAATTTTAAAAATTAGTTTACATTCAATATTATTTTGTATTAGTTTCAGGTGTACAGCATATGGCTAGACAATGGGAATTTTTCTTGAATTATGTTTTTTGCTTTAAATAATTTTTCTATTTTTCAATTACAGTTGACATACAGTTTTATATTAGTTTTAGGTGTACAACCCAGTGATTAGATATTACAAAATTTATTAAATTGTCATCCCTAAGTTCATTGAGCATCCTTGAAGCCAGTGGTCTGAACTTTCTGTGCATCAAAAGATTGCTTGTCTCCATATTGTTTAGTTCTTTTTCTGGAGTTTTATTCTATTTGGGATGTTTCTTTGTCTCCTCGTTTTGGTTGTCTCCCTGTGTTTGTTTCTATGTATTAGGTAGAGCTGCTACGTTTCCTGGGCTTGGTTGAGTGGTCTTATGTAGTAGGTGTCCTGTAGGGTCCAGTGGCACACCCACTCCAATCACCCAAGCTGGGTACTCCAGGTTTGCTCCCCACCCCATGTGGGCTGTATGCATCCTCTTGTTGTAGGTGAGCCTTGATTGCTGTTGGAACGTCAATGGGAGGGACTTCCCCCCAGGACAATTGGCTGGAAGAACTGGCTGCGACCACTGTGGAGGATCAGCTGTGCCAGGGCTGATCCCATGGAGCAGGACTTACTTCAGGGGGGCTCTGGTGCCTGCTAAATCTGCCCCATGAGTGTGTCTCTAGTGGAGGATGTTGAGCAGTTCTTCAACACAGTCTGAAGCTGTCCACAGGGTGTGCTGGCTCTGGGGCCTCCCAGAAGGTGAAGGCCAAGATAAAGCCACCCACCTGTACCCTGCCCCAGGCCACCTGGCATGAGCTACAAAGCAATCTGCAGATGGCTGCTTCTTGTTTTGGGCTTGGAGGTGCTCAGGAGAGGCCAAGCTGCAAACCAAGGTCAGCTGCTGCTAGTGCTGGGCCTGGGGCCACTTAGTGAGAGGTACATAGCATGCTGAAGCCAGATGCTGCTTGTTTGAGAGATTCTAGGAACAGCTGAAGCATGACTCAAGACAAGCTGTTTTTAGGGAAAAGCCACTGGAAATGGCTTGGGTTGGGCCAGCAAGTTGGGTGGGGCAGGGACTCAGGGAATCACCAGGGGAGGGCAAAACAATGTTAGGCAGGTTGATGAACACTCAGATGTGGTGCCCACCTGCTGACTCTGTGGGGAAAAGGGCTGAAAAAAGGAAGAGTAGTCTCTGCCAGCACTTCTGAGAGAAAGCTTCCCCTACAGCTTTCGTCCTGATACCAGACAACTTAGTTTCTTCCCATATGTCCCTGGTGCCCCAACACTGGGTTTCAGAGCCAGTGAATCTAAGTCCACACACAGGCCCTTTAAAGGGCCTGGGACTCCAGTAGCCCTCTGTTTCACTCAGCCATAATCCACGCTGGCTTTTACAGCCAGAAGTTATGTGGACTTCTCTTCCTGGCACAGGAACCCTGGCCCGCCTTGCTCCTCCTGGGGGACCTCTGCATCTGAGATAGCCCTCCCAATTTTTATCTGACCCAAGTGAGTGTGGGACTAGCCCATTCTGCCTCTCCATCCCTCCTACCAGTTTCAATGTGGCCTTTTCTTTATGTTCTTAGTTGTAGGACTTGTCTCAATGTGTCTTCTTTATAGCCGCAGTTGTAGGACTTCAGCTAGATTTCAGGCGGTTCTGAATGGTAGTTGTTCTGTAGTTTAGTTGTACTTTTGATGTGGTTGTGGAAGAATTTTAGTTCAGCATTTACCTACGCCACCATCTTGATGGGAAATCCCTGAATTACTTTTTGGTTGATTTCTTTTCCTGTTTTTCTGGCATCACTGTTATTCAGATTTCAAAACTGCTGGAATGACCTTTTAATTTCTTATATTTTCTATTGTGCATCTTGTTGTCTTTTCACGCTATCAAGTAGGAGGTTGCTTCCTTCAATTTTCTCTCCCAAGCTGTCCACTACAAATATATTTTTTTTCATTTTTGCCACCATAATTTACTTTCCAAGAGCCCTTTTTTATTCTCTAAATATATAAATACTAGAGGCCTGACACATGAAATTTGTGCACGGGTAGAGTCCCTAGGCCTGGCCTGCGGTCAGGGCCACCTTCCCTGGCTGCTGGCAGTCCGCCCCGCCCCAGCCACCAAGTGCCCTGTGTGTGGGGGGCGACTGGTGGGGCGATCAGGGACCTGCTTGCTCACACCTGCCTTGACCTGGCGCTGCCCGTGTCTGCTGCCACCCCCTCCCCCGGTTCTCCATTCCCCATTGGGCAATCAGGGCCTGCGGGCAGCTCCTGCATTGACTGTCTGCCCCCTGGTGGTCAGTGAGCATCATAGCAACCGGTCATTCCGCTGTCTGGTCAGTTTGCATATCATATATACATACATACATACATATATATATATATATATATATATGTATATATTTGCCCAGTGCACAAAATTCGTGCATGGGTAGGGTCCCTAGGTCTGGCTAGCCATCAGGGCAGATCTGTGGGGCAACCAGCAGGGCAATCAGGGGGCCCCCGCTGGCACCTGCCTTGGCTGGCCTGGGGCCTGCAGGCTGGGGGCAGCTCCTGCATTGAGTGTCTGCCCCCCTGGTGGTCAGTGCACATCATAGCAACTAGTCATTCTGTTGTTCGGTCAATTTGCACATTAGGTTTTCATTATATAGGATATGTTATATAATACATATATTTGTGTCCATACTTTATGCACATTTCCTTAGTTTGTATCAAATGCCCTTTTTCTATTCTAGGACACCACATTACATGTCTCCTTGGATTTCTCTTGGCTCTGTCAGTTTCGCAGACTTTCTTTGCTTTTTTATAACCTTGACAGTTTTCAGGATTATTGGTGGCTGTTTTACAGACTGCCCCACATTTGGGTTTGATGGTTTTGTTTTTTTTTCTATTAGCAAGAATCTTGCCTCAGATAAACCTCATTGGCTACGATACTGCCACTGTGCAGTTTGATGCTTTTTATTTTTAATATATTTTTATTTATTTCAGAGAGGAGAGGTAGAGATAGAAACATCAATGAGAGAGACTCATGGCCTCCTGCACCCCTACTGGGGACTGAGCCCACAACCTGGGCATGTGCCCTTGACCGGAATCAAACCCAAGACCCTTCAGTCCTCAGGCAAACACTCTATCCACTGAGCCAAACCAGCTAGGGCTGCCTTTTTTTTTTTTTTTTTTTTTTAAGAGTTCAGCTTTTTATTGACTGTTACAAAAGAGATTTAGCAGACTGTTACAAAAAAGACCAAAGCCCAAGTCATCATCAGACTCCTCAGATTCTTCTTTCTTTGCTTCTACTTTCTTCTCTTCAGCTCTGGCAGCAGTAGTGGAGGAGGCAGGACCTCCTGGTGCAGTGCCAGCTGCTGGGGCAGGTCCACCAGCCCCTACATTGCAGATGAGCATCTCAATATTGACACTGGCCAGAGTCTTTGCAAACAAGCCTGCCCAGAAAGGTTCAGCATTTACACCAGCTGCTTTAAAAGGGGCATTGATCTTATTCTCCATCACTGTCACTTCATTGTTGTGCAGGATAAGGGCCGAGTAGATGCAGGTGAGCTCCGAGATGGAGGCTATGGTATGGGCGAATGCTGGGCAAATGGTGCTGGTTGCTGGATGAAGTGAGGGCCTTACCCCAAAGCGGCCTTAGATTCCCCATAGGACCGCACACCTTACTCAGCAGCTCGGGGGAAGAAATCTGTCTGCTGCTTTAAAAAATATATATATTTTTTTATTGATTTCAGAGACAGGAATGGAGAGAGATAAAAACACCAATGAGAGAGAAACATTGATCAACTGCCTCCTGCACACCCCATACTTGGGTTCAAGCCTGCAACCTGAGCATGTGCCCTGACTGGGAATTGAACCTGCAACCTCCTGGTGCATGGGTCAATGCTCAACCATTGAGCCACACCAGCCTGGCTGTCTGATGCTTTTCTCAGGTTAGACTAGGGTCATGTTTTTTTTAGAAGGAAGACTACGAAATAGAGTGCCCTTCTCGTCACTTTATATCAGGGTACATACCATCAACATGTCTTATCACTGCTATGTTAAGTGGCTGCCTGTCTGAGGTAGTGTTTGTCAGGTATTCTACCCCCCCCCCCCCCTTTCCATGCTTAACTCTTTGGGAGGAAGTCACTATGCTTATCCTCCACGTACAGAGGAGAGAGTTGTGCTTCACCTCCTTAAAAGGAGAGGCTATCAATTATTTGGAATTCAGTACAGATGTTTTGCTCTTCTCCATTTATTTATTAAACCGTTTATTTATGTTACTATGAACTCATGGATATTTTATACTGAGTCATAACCCAATACTATGTTATTTTGTTGCTCAAAACGTTCCAGTTCTTTCAGTGGGCTCTTGTGTCCCTTATGACATGCCCCCATATTGCCTGTGTGTGTCCTTTATAATCACACCCTTACTTTGTTGCATTACAAGATGCTCCAGGCTCATCTTGTAATACATCCCCTGCCCTGACCCTGGAATCAGCCCAGTTCCCTTTATTGGAGACAAGACCTGGGCTTGAGGTGCACTTTTGCTACTGGGATGTCATTGCTTCTGGGCCATCTTAGTTGAGAGGGCAAGGACATCATTTGTGTGCTAATTTTTTAACGACTGGTTCTCTTTTCAAGGACACACTACTTTTTCATTCTCTCTGGAGCCAGCAGTGATATGTGTTTTTTTCCTTTGGGAATTTTCATCGCCATATAGTCTGTTTCTTTCCTGATGCAGTTTTCTGTTCAATTGTCTTAGCTTTCTTTGCCACGTCACCTTGGTCTGGGCAGATTCAAGGTGGGGGGATAGTTCTGAGCACACAGTTGGGCCTATTGATGGTGAGATTCACTGCTGAGCCATCGGAGGGAGTTAGGGGTTTGTTTTTTGTGGAGGTGGGCAGAGGCCTTTCCTTTAGGCTTTAAGGGTCTAGAGCTGGTGCTCCATGAGCTGCCTGGAGGGGGAAGGCTGAGAGCTACTGAAGTCAGCATCTGCTTACAGAGCCAACCTACAGCCCTGTTTTCACAGCTCGCAGGCCCTCAGCTGTGCCCGGGGCTCGGACACCCTATCTCCTATCACCAGAACGTAACCCCAGACTCCTGCCTTTCCCAACTGTGTCTGCCTTTCCTCCTGCCAGAACTGTCTGTGGTTTTACCAGGAAGCACTTGTGGGTGCTTTGTGTGGATGGTTTTCTCTCGGATACACAGCCAGGAATAGGATAGCTGTGGGGTATAACTGGTGTATGTTTAATGTTATCAGAAACGGTCACCCTGTTTTCCAAAGTGGACATACCATTCTGCTTTGCCACCAATAGTGTACAAGACTTCCAATTGCTCCACATCATCACCACTTGACATTGTCTGTCTTTTTTTATTATAGCTGTCCTAGTGGGTGTGTAGTGGTCGCTCATTGAGATTTTGATTTGCATTTCCCTAAGCTCTTAAATTGTTTTAAAATCAGTCCCTTCCTCTTGACACCTGCTGCCATGGTCCCAGGCCAAGACTCACCTTCTCTTACAAAGGCCTTTCAATAGCTCCCTAACTGGTCTTGTCGCCTTAAGCCCTCTTCCCTGCAACTTAACGTGGCCTAGTAATCTCCAAAATAACTCACATCACTCACTTCCTTTCTTAACACTCATCAACAGCTGTCCTTTACCGCCTCAGCCAGGGCCCCCAGAGCCAGCAGGTAAGGGATGAGTGAAGCTGCAGCCGGTGTGGGTAACAGGGAGTGGTGGGCACTGTGGTAAACCGGGAGCTTTGCCTACATGGCAGCTGCCGCTCAGTTCCAGCTGACCACTGCCCCTGGGAATGCAGGCCCCATGTTGCCAGAGTGTCAACTATGCAAGTGAAACCAACAGTTGAGATGTTTCAAGTGAAAGAAAAACAACTCTCTGGGCTAATCAAACCATTTCAGTGAGTTGAAGCCAGCTCAGTGCTGCCCACCCCCCTCAAGGTCCTCATAACTCTCCTGTCTCCAGGAAGGGCAGGTGATGTGTGGTTCCCTGAGCACAGCGTGCAGGTCCTCACTTCGGAACCTTTGGCTCTGAGTGCCCTTCCCACCTAAACTGGCCCGGCACATTCCTGCGGGTCTTCAGCTCCATCTGGGCTTCCTCCTGACTGAGGCCCTCCTCACCTGCTTCTCCCCACCTGGCAGGCCACATCCCAGCTGTCAGCCTCGCTCACGTGTCCTCCCCAAATTCTCCTCACACTTGCGGCAGGATCCTCTCATTTGTTGGCCTCTAACAAAATTCCGTACACTCCTCTAAGCATGGACCAGTGCCCGACTTGGCACCTCAGTTCTGTTCACTGTATTTCATAAACAAAACAAAAAAAGCAGAATCCGTTCAGAAAACTCAACATGAAATAGGCACAGGTGTGTGTGTGTACCCACTTTGCACAGGGTGAGCGCTGTAAACTCGGGCTGCAGTGTTTGGGAATGGGTGTCCCTTCCTATTCTGAGAGGAAGCACCCACAAGTGCTTCCTGGCAAAACCACAGACAGTTCTGGCAGCCAGACTTCACTCGTTTCCCATCAGTCCACACTGACGGTGGAAACTGTGCTTCCCTGTTTTCTGCTGTGCACCTGGAGCAGGTGGCTGGTGAGGCTGAGGGGAGGGGTAGGAGCTGCGACTTCAAGCAGGACCTAGGGCCGTGCTCCATTTCAGGAAACTCCCTCTGGTGGCCACGGCGGGGGGTGGCCTAAGAGGGATACCGCGCTGGATCCCCTCCTCTACCCACCCCTCCTTCGAGGCTCTGGTGCCCCCCAGCCTGGCTCTGGATCACAGGCTTGCCGCCTTCCCCAAACTCTGCCACCACGTTCTATATCCTCCTGCCCCCTGACCTCCCGCAGGCAGAATCCTGCTCCTTTCCTCCATGTTGGCCCCCACCTTGGCCACCTAGGCCCGGGCGTCCTGTGACGGCTGCTCCTTCCCCAGTCCTCCCCCTCCAGTAAAGGACCTCTCCGCCCCACCCTCGCCCCCCTTCTCACGCCACGTGCCCAGCCTCCGAGCCCCTCTTCCATCCGGTCTTTATCCAGAAGATGCGGCAACCCCAGTACCCGGCCTTCCCCCCACCTTTCCATAGGACCCAGGCTGCTGGAATCCGAGGGGCCGGAGGGCTGCGAGAGAGGCCTCAAAGGTCAGTGTAACCGACCCCAGGCCCTAGGGAGCCCCCGGCCTTGCTCTCCTTCCCCCATTTAGGACCCGGCCCTTCTCCGAGGCTGGCTGGGCCCCTGGCCAAGCGCACCAGCCTATTCTCCGTTCCCCTCCTCCACCGACCCACAGGGAACACTAGTCTGCACTCGGCCACCCCCAGGGTACCCCCTTTCCCAGGCCCGATTTCTGGTCGCACCCCCAGAAGCCGGTTCAGAGCGAGCAGCGGAGTCCAAGGCCCCGCCTCCCGGAGGCCATCACACGCCGGAATCCGGGGCGCCGAGGCCCGCTCTTCCCCTTAACGGGCCGGCTCCGTCCCCCTCAGACCTCCCCGCCGCTCCCACTTTGCACCTGCAGCCTCGAGGCCCGCTCTCCGTCCCGCCGGTGCGCCCTCCGCCGGCTCCGCGTCCGGCGGCCGCGCCGCGGGACCCCCGAGGAGCAGCGGGCTCCCCGCGCCGCACCTGAGGCTGCGGACCCAGCGCCGGAGCCCGCGTGCTCCGCCCGCCCCCTCCCGCGGCCCGCCCCCTGGTGCTATTGGCCGCGCCAGTCCGGGTCCCTGCGCGCTGATTGGTTGGCGTGCGGGTCGCTCAGGCCGGGCGCCGCGGCGGCGGCGAAGGGAGCCGGACCGGAAGGGTCGAAACACCCCGCGCCCCTCACACCCACGGCGGCGGCGGCGGCGGGGCCGAGCGGGCGGGGCGGCTGGCCGAGCCCGGGCAGGAGCCGCCAGCGCCGCCAGTCCGCCCGCCCTCCCTGTCCCCGGCGCAGCGCGGGAGGCGAGGTGAGCCCGGCGCTATCTAGGCCCGGTGGGGGCTGCTCGGGCCTTGCCCCGCCCCGCCAGGGAGGGGCGACGGGAGGGCCTCGCGGCCGGGGTCGCGCGACCGGGGTCCGCGGGGGTGACGGGCGCGGGGCCGGGCTCGGCGGGCCGTGGGCCGTGCGGGCGCCGGCGGTGCGGCCGCCGCCCCTGTGCTCCCGGCTGCCGCAGTCGCCCCGCCCGCCGGCTGTCAGAGCCCCGCGCTGCGGGCCCGCTCCCTGGCCCGGCCCGGCTCGGCGGGACCTGCCGAGGGCTCGGCGGGGGCCACGGCGCGGGGATGCTCGGGAGTCGCAGCCTGGGCCCCCGCGAAGTGGGCCGTGGCGCCGGCGCGGTGTTGCTCTCGGGAAAGTGGGGAAATGCCTGCCCTTCGGGACCGGGCCGTTCCAGGCGAGCGTGTGGGGAAGAGCCGGGGCCGGAGCCCGGGGCGCACGTTCGGGGAGCTGGGCTGGAACCCCCCTCCATCGCTCGGTGCCCCCATCCTCGTGCCTTGTCATCGCTCGCTCCGTGCTCTGGGCCCACGCCAGCCAGGGCGGGCCCTGCCCACCCCCCCTCCTCCCCTCCTCGCGCCCCGAGCTCTGCTGTCCTCTCCCTGGCTTGACCCCTGGCCAAGCGCACCAGCCTGTGTAACATGCCATCTTCTCACCTGCTGGATTGCCGCCGCTTGTTTACCTTGCACCTTGGCACCTGCTGTCTCCAGCGCATGGGGCCGTCTCCAGGTTTTGGCACCGCTGGCTCCTGGTGGTGCTTCCTCTGGTCAGAGGTCTCCTTTAACACCAGGCCTTCCTCGACTACCCTCGTTCATCCCTTAGTTTTTCAGTAATTATGTTTAAATCCCCTTCCTCCCCCACGCCCCCCCCCCCCCCCCCCCAGCATTCACGCTGATGCTGTTTATTTGCCTGTTTATTTTTGTCTCCGGTACTGGGATGCAGGTCGTTGTCTGCTTCCTCCCCGGTGCTTAGAAAGCACCAGTTCGGAGGATGCCTGCCCCTGCCTGCCCGTTGTCTCTGCTTTATCTGCTCATTGAGTGGCTTCTGAGTAACTTGTGAAACATGGAAGCAGGTGGATGCTTGTTCTCCTTTTATGAAACATCTTCATGTCCTTGACCCCTTTATTTGGTAACACTCAGAACAAGCTGTGATATAAAAATCTTACATTTTAATAACGCTTTCGCTGTAATTTCCTTCCACACATTCAGGAGACATTTACTGAATTCTGCATTATTTAGGTCAGGCTTTCTGCTTAGCCTGGGGGACAGAAATATGATAGCAACAGGGTCCCTTCCTCCAGAGGGCCTGAGAGCCCCGCAGTGAAGGCAGACGCGCCCACGGGTAGCTTTGGGGCAGGGTGATCCACGCGTGCTGTAGTGGAGGGGCCGTGCCTCCAGAAGATGACAGTTGGTGCTGTCGTTGGGCCTTGAAGGGTGGTGAGAAGTTTGCCCGCGAGGGAGAGGCACAGAAGTGGGAAAGGGCAGGGTGAAGCCAAGACCTTAGCCAGCGTATGGTTCGGAATCAACCTGCTGAGCCAGGTGTAAGAGACGGGTGGTGAGAACCGGGGAGGACCAGACCTCACCTGGGGTTTTAAAAAGATGTCTGAACTCTATATTTATTAACTTCACTCTCTGGATTTTTAAATGTTGGCAGTAGCTAATTAAATCAGTAAACCCTGTTGTGAGCCAAGCAAAATACAGATCTGATTCAGCTTGGTTGCAGGATAGTAGACCTCCAGGGCAGGCAGCTAAGGAGGGAAGTGGGTGCAAAGAGCTGGAAAGGTAGCCTGAGGCCAGGGGAGCTGGTTGGTCCAGGTGCTCATTTAATTGTCTCTGAGCCTGTGAGGGCTCAGCAGCCTGCTGCACAGCCAGCAGTGGGGAGGTGAAATTTGAACCCAGGTCTCCCCTTGGTCAGTGTGCATTCCTGAGTCCCTCAACTCCACCTGTTCTCTTGGCTTTTAACTTGTTCTGGAAAAACAATATTTGATCTAAACAAGGTTTTTCTTCATTTAACCTTTTATCCCGGACAGAAGGATCCTTCGGGGTTAAAAATAATCCTATTTTGGCACAGTGTTATTTTCTGGAGAGCTTTTATTTATTTATTTTTTATTTTACTTTTCAGGATGCCAGAACTTTAAATAATTTGTTGACAGATTAGAGTGTGTTTATTTGCCACCCCCCCCAAATGATGTTAGAGGGTACACTTCAATTTGTCTATTTAAAGTAAATTTAATTTTCTAGATAAAGAAAAGTGCCAGATGAAGCAAGTAATAGTGAGTAAAACATTTATTTTCATGATGTATAAGGTAAAATAGAAAGCACATTTTTTTCTTAATACTATTGTTCCAGCAGTAGGGCAGCTATGTTTGGTCTAAATATATAGTTAACTCCTGGCTAAGAAGGTGACATTTTTACATAATTTTCTTTGAGAATAATTAAATTTGTGCTCAGCCTTTTGTAACTGTGAACTAATTTCAATATCAGTCTTTATATCAACTGTTTATTATGAGGACCTTCAAACATATATTTAAAAAACAACAACAGAATAGTATCCAGCTTCAACAGTTATCAACTCCTAGCCCATCTTGTATTATCCCTAACCTCATTACTTATACTCTCACCCCCTCATACTATTTTCAAGCAAATCCTAAGTATGTAATTTCATACATGAATTTTTCAGTATATGTCTCTAAAAGATAATGACTCCTTTAAACTTGGAAAACCAATACTTTCTTTTCTTTTTTTAATGTATTTTTATTGATTTCAGCATGTAAGGGAGAGCTAGAGAGAGATAGAAACATCAATAATGAGAGAGAATCATTGACTGGCTGCCTCCTGCACTCCCCCCACTGGGGATCCAGCCTGTAACCCAGACCTGTGCACTCAACAGGAATTGAACCATGACCTCCTGGTTCATAGGTAGATGCTCAACCACAGAGCCATGCTGGTAGGGCACTAGTCTATAATAATAAAAGTGTAATATGCTAATTAGACTGGACATCCTTCCAGATGTCCTTCCTTCCGGACAAAGCCGCAGCAGGCAAGGGGCCAAGGCAGAGGCCGCAGACGCTCTGGCAGCGGCAGGCGGGGGCCAGGGCCAAGGCCCTCGCACAAATTTCGTGCATTGGGCCTCTAGTCTTATATAATGAAAGGGCAATATGCAAATTGACCCTAACAGCAGAACAGCCACTTGACCAGTCACTATGAGGCACACTGACCACCTCTCGGTCCCTCCCCCATCCCCCCAAGCCAGGCTCCGATGGCCCGATGGAGAATGGGGAACCATGGGTGGGTGGCAGTGGGGAGCGGAGACGGCTGCAGGCAGCTGGGGAAGATGGCCCTGATTGCAGGCCAGGCCTAGGGACTGTACCCATGCATGAATTTCGTGCTCTGGGCCTCTAGTTTCTTAATATAACGAATGACCAATCAGTATTCAAATTTCTCATTGTCCCATGCATTTTATAGTTTCTTTGTTTGTCTATTGAAATCAGAATCCAGATAAGGTCCATACTTTGTGATTGGTTGATAGGTCTTTTAAGTGGCTTTCAACCTGTAGATTCCCCCTCTAGGTTTTTGTTTATTTGTTTTCTTTGTAGTTTGTTGAAGCGATTAGGTTGTTGTATAGCATTTCCATAGTTGGGTTTTACTGATTGCACCTCTACAATGTAATTTAATGTATTTCCCTGTATATTTCCTGAAAATTTACAATTGGATCTATAATTGGATCTAGATGAGGTTGAGTCAGATTCAGGGTGCTTTCCTAAGTGAGGTGTGGTCTCCTGTCTGGTAACATTGCTTGGCTCCCTGAGATGTTAACATCCTAGACCCATTGAGTCATTAGGAGGATGTATTATTTGGGAGGCAAGTTTGTATACCTTTCGCTGAATAAGAACTCATTTTTAAAAAAAGAACTGTGGATCTCCAATTTTATATTGGCCTTTGAATTGACACTTAAAATGTTTTTATTTCATTGATGCCTCAAATCCTCTTTGGAAAATGTTGGGGTATAAATTAGTAGATACAAAAATATTGAGTGAGAGTAGTCACCATTTTAACATAGGAATTCCTTAGAGCTAAGGAAGTTCACTAAACATTTGAAGGTAAAATTCAAAAATTTTATGTTATTTAATTCATTTGCTTTTTTTGTTTGTTGTTTGTTTTTTGGTCCTATAAAATATTCCACCACCATCAGCAGGCCCCCCACAGCTAATTTTACCATAGTATCTTTCTTAAGCAAAGACTACATACTCTAAAACATTTCAGGAATAGTAAAAATAGATTCTAAGGATAAATGGATTACAAATGAGAGTCATTTTTTCTTAAAAATGAGGCATTAATACTAACTTTTTAATGTTAAATAGACTGAAATTGCTTTTAAAATAACTTCTTAAAACAAAAAGTATGTGTGTATATACATACACATATATATGTATTTATATATTTCTATAGAACTGTGATTTAATTTATTCGCCTATTTAAATTTTGTATATCTCAACTGATGCTGCTACTAGCTTGATTTTTATATCTAGGGATAAGGGTGCAGCTCAGGTAATAAATCCACTAGCTCTGGTTCTGGAATCAAAATCTGCTTCACCAATTTTTAACTGTACTCTCAGAAACATATTATGTATTGTGAAGCAGATGTCTTCAAAACATTTTCTGAAACCTCATGCCTGCCACACCCTGGAATGAACAGTAAATCCTGTGCACGCCCTCCTGTCTGTTGTGCCTTTCACAGAGGTGCTTACCCAGTATTCGTCAGGTCATCAGCTTTTGCACTTCCCAGGTTTGAGTTCACATTTTCAGATTTGAAACATTTGTCTGGGGACAAGTAATGGGGGCAGTAATATCTGTCCTAATGTCAGCGGACACCTGGACATTGACCTGGGCTGGGCCTGTGCTAGCTGCCCCCGAGGTCGGTTCTGCAGTTATCCCCATTTTATAGATGAGTGTGACCACTTGACAAGGTCACAGGTAAGTGGCAGACCCACCACCCTTCGACTCCAGAGTCCTAACTTGTTTGTTTTTAATGTAGGTATCTTTTATTGTATTATGTACCACAATTAAAAATTTAAATAGGAAATACATAAACCCTAATCTAGACAGCTATTTTGACAATTGTAAGAAATACACTCTCTAAGTCTTAAGTCTGCATGCTATAGTTTAGAAGAGGGGAGTACATTTTTTTCTTTTTACCTTTTGACCCCCTTCATCTATTTCTCCTACCTCCTGCCTCCCCCCCACCCCCCATCTCTGGGACCCACCAATGTTTTCTATTTCTGTAAGCTTATATTTTTAATTTGCTAATTTGATTTGTTTTTGTATTTATGTAGACATATTGATTATATGGTATTTGTCTTTCTGTTCCTGACTTATTTGACTTAGCATAATACCCTCGCAGTCTGTCCATGTTGTCACAAATGGCAAGACTTCCTTCTTTTTTTATGGCTGAATAATATTCCGTTATGTATACAAAGCGGGGCAAAAGTAGG